ATCTTAACAGGTAGTAAAGTATATTTAAAAAGAGGAATGCTATATTTTGTCATGTGTAGTTGGTTGTAATATGTAGTTACCTAGTGCATCAACATATGTTCGACCATTGGTGAAGCGACCTGTGGTTCCAAGTGGAAAGTCAATGCCATAGGGCCTATAATTTGCCCTAGCTAGTGTAACCATCCTATTGTTGTTCCCATTGTCGACCAAGGAGTCGCCAAAGATGAAGAAACAAGGCACTTGAGATCCCTGCTGAGGCCGCTGTGACCAAGCCATAGCAGTGAAGCACATAAGAACGAAAGTAACTAAACAAAGCATCTCATTACAACCCTTTCTTTCCATTTTAGAATAAACCCAAGACCTTGGATCGTAGTATCGTTGCTTGCCTATTTATAGTCCTGCGTTAAAGGGCTTCCCTATTCTTTAATGGGACTCGTGCTCTAACTTCTTCTTAGCTGTGTCAGAATGAGTGGAGAACTTTTTGGTTGTGTTCATGGGTTACATACAGATGGAAGTAGTTTACATCAAAGCAGCGGTGATTGTAGGAGTTATCTTGTGATGTGCTATGGCGGCGAGCCTGTGACAGAATATCCCTCCACCGAAGGGTTAGGTTCACCAGACCTTCATCCACAATTGTTCTCCCTGTTAACTTTGTAAATATTCTAACTTCTGGATCACAAGCCTCATGTTGTTCTCCAGCTATTTTTCTGCATGGAAAGAAGGCTTTGGTTCTCTTTAATGGTTCTATTTTTTTTTTTTTTTTTGGTTCTTGTACTAAATTTCTTCGTATCTAAAAATTATATTAAATTTTAACTAATTTGAAATTAAGTCATATTTTAATATTTATCTTTTCGTTCACAAGACTCAAATTCAAATTTTTCTTTTAAAAAAACCAAGTTTATTCCACTTACACCAACAGATCATTAACATGATTCTATTTTATTAACAGCCACCATAGTCACAAGTATATCTGTGGTAGGGGAAACCAAAAAATTTCAGATTCCAGTAATCAAGGTGATCCAGTGGAAATGCACAATTCTCACACAAAACAATCTTATGCTCAAAAATGCTTTAGTTGCACTCATAATTTCAACACTTATTACTACTAAATAGTAAATACTAATACCTTCCTGTTCAAGTAAAAAGAGTTGATCATTCTACTGCCAGAGAAAGGAATTTCATAAACCCTGAATGTTCAAAAAATTTTGACCAAACATAGAAGTTAAAACACAAAATGTCAAAGTTACAATTAACATTAAATCATGTGCATTGCCAGCATGCTCTCTATTTTCATCAGCGAACACGACGAGCTTTCTCTTCCTGTCCTAACCCAAGCGATTTTTGTGCCTGTGCAATACCTTCAGGATCTGCAACAAAGTTGGTCCATCAAAAAATGGGATATAATGTAAGAACATAAAATATTGCCAGAGGATGTATGATGCAATACATTGCAGGAGGCTTGATCATCTACCAATGGTTCCTCTTGTAGTATTTAACAAGAAAAAGAAACAAAATCCACTTATGTAGTGATTTGAGCACAGAAATACAATTTTTACAATGCCCAAGTGCAGGAAACTTAATTATTATTGCCTTCAAATAAATTCATGTCCTATTCCCCAAAGCCCCATACACAGTAGCAAATCAAACTTACCAAAGAACTGAGTAAATATGCGCGTGAAGAAATTCAAATTGCGGGAAACATTGTACGCAATGCCAGGTGGAAGAGGCTTCACAATGGTGTCCATGCTAAACACTCGTTGAAGAAACTGTAGATCAACAACATAAGTATTAAAATACCCATTTAAGAAAATTAAGCGTGCAAAAGAATTAGGATTCCTATTTCCTAGTAACATGGGTAGTAGAAAATGCCATCAATAAGCAAAGAGCAGCAAAATCAGCCATAAGAAAAGCAATTGGACAAGCAACAGCCATAATTTGGTTTTCACGCAGTAAGATAGAGTTAGAATCCACTTATACACAAATCTTACACACCACACTTACACAATCTTGACCATTCATCTCTCCATTTTCAATGGTTGAGATTTATCATGCCTTTTTAGATGAAAAAGATAATTATCTTTAATAAATATGATAAAAAGTGAATAAATCTTAAACATTGAAAGTAAAGAGATGAATGGTCAAAATTTTTGCATGGCTGTTGTGTGTAAATGGATTGTAACTCAAAACTAATAAAAAAGGTTTTAGCAGTTAATTCACCAAATGCGAGCAAAGAGAGTGAAAAAAAAATAGTAACAGCAAGGGCATTAGGCAGGACAAAATTCCTCATCAATTCATGCTCATGGTAATTACTCTTTTAGCTAATAAAAAGGGGCTTGTTAATTCTGGGGAAACGACAAAATTTGTTGACCATCAAAGCAATGAATGGCCACTTTGTATAACATACACAAAGGATGTATTGCAGAATTTCTTGTGGCAATCTTCAAAATTGTGGCATCCAACAAGTGATCTTATTTTTTAAAAGAGAATTTATATTAAAAAGTTAAAGATCCAGGAAGCACGTAGCAGAATGCAATTATCAACAGTTTACTTGAACGCATTATCAAAATTAAAAATTGTGTATTGAATAGACATCAAAAGAGCCTCACACTCCCAAGCCAACACAATCAAAGCTTGTGTGTTTTCTCAGAATGTAATAAAGGCGTTAAGAAACCAACATCTAGATTCTTGGGGCAAGGAAACAAACAGCAACTCTACATTTACAAGATAGAATAACTAATTTTCTTCCATTTCCATAAATCATTTAGCATATGGCATATCTTTGTTAAGTTGAGAGCTGAGCATTCTTAATTGTAGTAGGGTAGTCATAGAAAATGCATGACCTGTCACAACAGGCATTTTCTTTTGTTAATTTTGTCACATGTAAGTGAAAAATGAAAACTGCAGCAGTTGCAGGAGCATCAAGATGACAATAGGAATTAGTTCTACTCCACCGTCTCCACCACAGGTCCACTGGAAGTAAAGAATACTTTTCTATTTTCACTTCATTTCTGGTTGAGTTTTTATGGTGTATACTCAACCAATGTACTTTGACTATTGTCTACATTTACCCATCATGGGGCCATGATTTATACATATATCATTGACATAAAAAAATACTTCATTTGTTTACAAATAAAGAGAAACTACCAAACGCCAAATTAGCAGACGAACTACAAATTGGGTCATCATTGATACATAAAGATAACTTTGTTTTCTTATCTAAATTAACAAAATTTAATAAAACTGAGAACTGGGTAATCAAAGACACCATTTTTATCCAGCAACCAAGCATTAATTCACACCAAGTTTCGGTTTTCACAGAGAAGCAAGACTCTACAGGCAAAATTGTAAATTGGGGGAAAGGAAAAGTACCTGGTAGTTGCGCTGGAAGCTGTAGCGGATTCTTGGATCAATCCCGAGGGCCTCGTCTTCATCCTCGTGTTTGGAGCCCTTGGATTTGGACTTAGGCACATGCATAGTGGGAGTCGACCCCGGCTCGTTGGTGACTTTGATCTTGGCGTCCGCGAACTTATCGGGCTCTTCCTCCCCTACCCTCCATGGCGCACTTGCTAGAAGATCTTTCTTCGCCTTTCCCATCTTCAGAGACACCGCGGCGGCAGTCACGAACTGTTCGCTCCTCTGCGCTCTGTGTCGTTCATGTTAGAGATATGGTTACGGGAAAAAAGTCGGCGATAAGGATTATGTTTGGATGCGAGGGGATGAGCGTTCTCCCGCCCAACAAGACCGGGACAAGGATTTCCTCGCTCTAGAGTTAGACTTCGGCCGCTAGTGCT